CTTCGAGAAATACTACGCACCCTGCAACTGATCAAACAAGTCATCAATCCTATATAGTGGGTACCTATTCCGGATAGTGACCTTGTTCAACTCTCTATAATCTATGCATAATCTCATACTACCGTCCTTCTTCTTCACGAAGAGGACCGGCGCGCCCCACGAAGAATGACTCTGGCGAATGAAACCCTGAGCGAATAACTCGTCCAACTGGGTCTGAAGTTCCCTCATCTCAGCTGGTGCCATACGATAGGGTGCGTGGGATATCGGGGCTGTGCCTGGCTGCAACTCAATACAAAACTCTACCCCTCTCACCGGAGGTAATCCAGGTATGTCCTGAAAGATATACTGATACTCTGAGACAACTCTAGTCTCCAATAACTCAGCACCCTGATCTCGTCGCATCACCTCCTCGATGTACGTCAGAAATGACTCCGCAAGTCGGTTGCCCTGAGAGGCGGCTACAATCATCTCGGACCCGTCGGACACTCACAATTTGACTGTCTTCGCAAAGCAATCAATGCTAACATGGTAGGAAGACAACCAATCCATACCAAGGATGACATCGAACTCGGACATATGCAACACTATCAAATCGACTATGAACTCCGACTCGTCTAAACTGACGGTACACCTCCTACAAACGCTCTCCAGAAGCGATACCTCTCCTAAAGGGGTGGAAACAAATAAAGGGGTGTCTAGTGGCTGAGCTACAAGCTGGAGTCTAGCCATAAATGCATGTGATATGAAGGAATGCGAAGTTCCCGAATCGAAAAGAATATGGGCGGGAAAGGAATTTACAAGGAACATACCCTCCAAAATTGCTCCATGATCGCGTGGAATGACCGCATAAACCCTGCCCGTGGCTGAAGACTGCTCTGCTGCTGGAGCTGAAGAAAATGGGACAATCCGCCCCTGAGGAAACTTCTGAACTGCTCGAACTTGCCCCTCAGTCTTCTGCTGCTGCTGAATTGGACCATTTCCCTTCTGAGTCCTTGTTAGTGCACTGCGGCATTCTAATGCCTTGTGTCCGACCTTACGACAGTTAAAACAAGTTCCTCGGAACTTGTGCTGCTGTCGAGCTCTCTGATCCTGTTGAGATCCCTTCTTATGAGGGCCCTGCTGATGCTGTTGAGGTCCAGTCAAGGGTCTCTTGTTCTTACCCTTGTCTCCGACGTGCACTCTCTTAGTACTCCCTTCCTTGTCCCTCTGAAACTTAGCTGTCCCATTTTTTTGAGAAATAGCGGTTTCAGCTACTGGTGGTGGTGGTGTAATGTGATTCGCCACAAGCTCCTCGATTGCTGCTATCCTAGCGACTAGGGGAGCCATAAGATCTACTAGGTACTGGGGACCCTGCTGCGGCTCAGGTGGTGTCTGATGTGGCTCGGGTGGAGTTTGTTGTGGTTCAGCCTGTCCAAATCTCTGAGTACGTGACATATCATATTCTGACATCTCTGTTCAAAAAAAAAATAAGAGTTTAGGAGTCAAAATAGACCTCTATAAATAGCGTATCATAATACAATTTTCACATGTATAGTATTCACGCAAATACTTTGAATTTTCACCATATAGTTGTCATAAAAAAAAATTCTCAAATTTTGAGATATACGCCTATATCGTCCTCACTCATACTAGGAATTCCTTAAGGACTCTATACATGAATCCTAAGAAACTCTATCCTAGCTCCACGACCCGACACAGGATGATCCTAAGGATACGGGAACTAGAGCTCTGATACCAACTGTGACGCCCCTGGGTTCACACAAGGCTGCAGTCCAAGGTGAAACCAAGAATGTCAAACCTGCCATGCACCACACCGTGCAATAACATGTTTCACCATCACAATTAACATCTATCTAGTAGAATCAATAACAGGTGTAGGTACAAAAGCAAGTAAAAGATGATACACGAAGGGCTGATGAAATGATAGTGATCAAATAAATATCTCATCATCCAACAAATGGAAATACATAGTCAATGTCTGAATAAATAAACTGGAGTAGTCACAAGTCTCAAATACAAATATCTGACAAGAATAAATAAGGCACTCCGCCTTTACAAATTCTAGAATAATACCCTCAAATGTCTAACCACACTACAGTGGAGCCCAAAGAAAATAATACATAGCTAGAAAGTAAAGCTGAACACTAAAGTGGTCCGCTATCAACATGCGACTCTCCGTGCTCCTGGCTTGTGACCTAAAAGGGGGAGGGACAACGAGCGTCAAAGCGCTAGCGAATAACATCACAACAAACCCCAAGGGAAAAGGGCTCGTTGTATATGAAAGTACAGATAATATATAATAGATCTAAAATCATTGGTCTTACAAAAGAGAGTTTTAGTATTTAGAAATTTTACATCACGAGAATAGGTACGTCGAGCGAAATAATCCAAACAAGGAAACCCTCATGTATATACCTTATATCTCAAATTGTAAATCTCTAAATGCCAAACCCAAAGTCTATTACATAAATGAATAAATTAAAAGAAAACAAAACACATCTCTACTTCCAAACATAGTGTCATGTCAAACTCACATGAGTGATATGTCAGAAAACGATTAAGTGTCCAAAACATAGACTATATAAATTAAACGTCCAACCCATAGACTGCATGAAGTAAACGTCCAACTCATGGACTAAATATAACCGTTGTCCAACGCATGGACCGGATGTGACCGTTATCCAACGCATGGACCGGATGTGACCGTTGTCCAACGCATGGACCGGATGGTAATGCATATCCAGCACGAGGATTAAATAGCAATGCATGTCCAACACGAGGACTAAGTGGGAAGGGTGTCCAACACGAGGACAAAAAGGTAATGCTTGTCCAACACGAGGACTCCGGTCGATCGCATATGGATACAAACCTCACTGTTCAGCAGAGACATTCACGGTCGACCGCGTCGGTCGACCGACAAGACATCGCGGTCGACCGCGCAGAGATCAGATGCCTTCTGACCTTCTGCGCGCCCAGCGGTCGACCGCGAGGCAGACAGAACCCAGACTTAGGTTTTTTTTTGTCAAGTTCCAAACCTGTATGAAATTTCTTTGAGTAAATCAGCCACCAAGCATTTAGAATATCACATAGAGGATAAAAGAAAACTGAAATTTTACATCTTTAGAGATCATTACCAAGATTTCAACATATTTAAACATAATTTGCATATTATTAATCAATAAAGATCAAGGTTTTCCTCCTTTTAAGACATATTCAGATTTAGATCTCTTAAACAGAATTCATTGGTGAGCTTTTAAAATAAGGAATACCTGAAACCCATGTTATATGCCATAATGATCTATTAGCTATTCAACATACGAGTTTGGTCCAAATAAACCAATTAAAAACTCAAGTTTTGACATGAAAGCAAAATGGGGTGGAGTTGGGCGAGAAGTTACTCGCCTTGGGTGTTGACGAAAGCCCTAGATCCGCAGGAGGTTAATTCTCTACGCTGTCCCGCTGAAAAAATCCTCCAGATCTCCTCCTAAGCACCAAATCCAGCTAGGGTTTGAGATTTGAGAGATGGGGGCTAGGGTTTTGAGCCTGAGGTGAAGAGAGGCTCTCCTGGGTTGAGTTGGTATAAATACTAACTCCCTAACCCGACCCGAAACCCAAAAGACCCGAAACAAAACCGCAAAGAAAACAAAACCTGGAAGCTCTCTGACCGCTGTGCGGTCGACCGCGCAACACAAAAATGCCTGTTGCTGGGCATTTCACACGCTGGCCATAACACTCGATTTCTCTCACTTAAAATCACTTGTTGGGTTCTCAAACCCAGATAATTACATTCATATGACATGTATATATGATTATTCATCACAAGGAAAATATTTACTATTAATAATTCACATATATTTATTGTAGAAATTTTTGGGGTTTTACAGAAGGACAACTGAACAGTGGCCCTATCCTTTACCCTGTCTCATCTGTCGAATCCAGGATATTAAGAGGATACCTCTCTCCTGTATTTGAATGACTTCCCTTCCAATCGCCAGCCGACACCTGAAAGGAGAAAGATGACTCAGCCTTCAGCTCACCCCTCAACCGCCTCCTGTGCATAGTCAAAACCGAATGGTCAAACTCTCAGAGGCGACATGCTATAAAAGGAGGGAAATAAGGTTAAAAGGGAAGGATTTTTTCTGCTTCTTCTTCATAAAAGCTCTGAATTTACCTTTGCTAAAAAAGAATCATTAACTCCATAAGAGTATCCTCTGAGGACCTCAATGGCCCAGGGACTCTTCCTCAAACCCCGCTCAAGCTCACCAGTTGACTTGATCGTCGGAGGTACCACGGGGGAAATGAGCCCCGCCCTACCACATGTTTCTTCTTGTTTGTGCAAAAAGTCCGGGAATTATAGTCTAAGGATCGGGCATAAAATCGGAGGAGGAGTCGGTCCCATCTCTCATCCTCCCCCTATTCGCCGCTGGCATGAAGACCAGAACCGCAACCCCATCGACTGTGTGTTCACAGACATCAACAGATGTCTATGTCATAACAATAACTAGTAGTTTCAAAAAAAGATTTTATGTGAGAGAAGTGCAAAATATCAGTGTTCACCCGCCGTACAAATAAAGTATGCTCGGAAACTGATATAGGACTCCATAAAAACTACTTTTTGGTGTTTCTCCACAAAAACTTGCCTTCCAATGGTCTCTATCTAACTTTTCATTCCATTTTCTTACAAATCAAATAAAATGAAAAAACTTAAATAATTAAGAATTCATATCTACTTCAAAGCCTTTTGAATTTCCCGCCGGAAATTGCCGGATTTAGAAGTGACAAGACCGAGGAGACGTGACCAGCTCCCGCTGTTTCACCGGGCCTCAGCGTCGCCCCCTGATTTCCGTCGGCTGTTTTAATCGCACAAAAAAAAAAAAAAAAAAATTGAATAATAAACATCTCCTAAAATATCTAATCTAAATCTAACAGCATATTTAAAGTGTCAGCAACTACTAAAATGTTACCCCTGCCGTCGAAAGAGGACCCGCTCCAACCCTAAAAATCCCCCCCCAATAAAACCCATCCCCCCCTTCCCAGCCTTCTTCAACTCCCTATTTAAAAACAAAACTCAATTAAGTCAGGGGGGGAGGAAAATAAAAATAAAAGAACAATGGCTACCGCTACGAAAGAAGATTACCGAGAAGAAGACGATCATCGAGGATCATCAATTAGGAGATGCGATCAAGATCAGGAAGACAAAGAGGTACTCCCGTGACTTCTTGATCGCCTGCGATTGATCCATCCCTTCAGTTTTCTTTCGTTTTCTGACCTAAAATTTTGTTAGACGAAGGAGAAGATAATTGACATTGACGACGAAGAGGACGAACCTAGGGCCGGAAGGAGGAGCAATGGCAGCAGGCGGTTGAGGAATCAGCGGCCCCTTGGCTCTTACACCGATGAGGGCCTGGTAACTCGAATCAAAATCCCTTTTTTCTGGTTGTTATCAGTTGAAAAGAAGGAATTTTTGATTGAGAAGCGATGAATAACTAGGGAGATGAGAAGATGACGAAGAAGGAGAAGAGGACTTTTATGGTCTCGCTTATGTGTCATCAATGCCAAAGGAACGACAAGGGAAGAGTGGTTTCGTGCTCTAAATGCAAGAGGAAACGCTTCTGCATTCCTTGCATCACTCGATGGTCTTATATTCTCCCCTTTCTTTTTACCTGTTTTCTTGGCTAGCTCGAATTAAGAGGGTGTTTTTGTGCGCGAAAGTGGAACTGAAAAAATGGGAAAAGTAGCAAAATCGCACGGGTTGAGGCCCACATGCATGATAGAATTGTTTCACAGCTTTTTTGTAGCAAAAAAACTAAGGCTGTTTGTTTGCCAAAAAAAAAAGAAGAAAACTAGCCGCCATGTCACCTTTGAGGAAATCCCCCATCCACATCAGCTTTTGGTTTCAACACATTTCCATTTCACATGTTTGTTTCATTTTTTTTATTTAAGGAAATGAGAATGCCACCTAGGATGCCATGTCACATTTCAAGAAATGTGTTTTCACAACAAAAAACTGTGAAAACACATGGAAATGTCACATCAATGAGTTTTTAATTAATAAATGCACTATTGGAGAGTATCATGATGAATAAATTTCTTTTTTAATGGGTCATTTCTCTTTTTCTTTTTCTTCTTGTCAAACAAACTAAAGAAATGGAAATCAAAAGCACTGTTACTATAGAAGTTTTTTTTTGTTTTTTGTGTGACTTGGCAGTGAAAAGGGGAGGTTTCTTTGCGAAACAAACAAAATAAAAGAAAACTGGGAAACCTCTTGATATGTGTTGAAATCATTTCCAAAGAGGGTTTTCCATTTCCGTTTTTTTCGTGGAAATAGCCAAACATGCAGTAGCAATCTCATGTGTTTTCCTAGAAACCAATTTCAAAGTTATAATGGAAATGGCTTGAAAACCCAAAATTGGGGGGCCCACCAGCATATGAGTTTGATTTCCTTACCATAAATCTATCTTTCCACCATGTATCCTGGCAAACCAAATAGCTTAGTGATGCACCAAATTCAAAAGAAGAAAATCAGAGACCACTATTACTTAAAATATTTAATTTATTAGCATATTAATTGGAACTGTATGATTTTATTATCTTTAGTTCCCCAGAGTTTTCTATTTCTGCAACCAAACTTTGTATTTCACTTGTTCGTGTGTGCTGATGTGGATGTACTTTTGTACTTAGTTGCACGTTTTTAGATTCACTTTCATTTCGCCAACACCTCACAGGTGGAATAAATAGAGAATTTTGGTTGGTCATTGCATAGGTATCCTCAATTGTCAGAGGCTGAAATTGCCATAAAGTGTCCAGTCTGCCGTAATTATTGCAACTGTAAGCGTTGCCTTCGGATTCCTGGAATTTTCAAGGTTCTTCTTCTTCTCTTTTATTGCAATTCCTAGATTCTCGAATGGTATCGAGTTAATCGTTTCAGAGTGTTTCTTTTCCTTTGTGTTTTGACTTCAGTATGAGGAAAAGACGATCAGCGAACGTGAGAAATTTAAGCATTATTGTTATATTTTGGAAAAGCTGCTTCCTTGGTTGAAAGATTTTCATGAGGACCAAATGGCTGAGAAGGATTTGGAGGCAAAGATCCAAGGTAACTCCCTTGCCGATCTCTGATTAATAAATTGTTTTTTTCTGATGCTTGTTTTTGTCTGTATGTAGGAATTGATCCTACAAAGCTTGTGGTGAAGAAAGCTCAATGTGGCCTTGATGAACGCGCATACTGGTACCTTTCCTTCTTAATAATTAGTTTGCAAAGTTTATTTACCCCCTCATTTCTCTGAACGTGTATAGCGTGACACCTCTACATGCTTTGTTCAGTGACAACTGCAGAACATCGATTGTTGATTTTCACAGAAGCTGTCCTTGTTGTTCATATGATTTATGTCTTTATTGCTGCCGCCAAGTTCGTCAAGGTGTCGTTCCTGGTGGTTATGGCAAGCCACTGCCACAATTTATATTTCGGGGAACAAAATATTTCCATGGGGGCCCTCCGCAGATATCATCTCCAATTAAGCCCGATGAGCCTGAAGCTCCTCACGAAGCAACACGAGAATGGAAAGCTGATAGTGATGGAAGCATCCATTGTCCAACGGGTGGTTGTGGTAGTGCCACTTTGGAGCTGAGGTGCATGTTCGAGGATGGACAGATTTACAAGTTGTTGAAAACGACAAGTGCTATTGTGGGAAGCCATGATTTTGCAAAACCGCCTGATGCTTCTAGTAGTTGCTCTTGTTTCTCTTTGCCTCCCCATGTCGATTCTGGTTCAAGTATGCTACGAAAGGCTGCCCACAGAGTGCATTCTGATGATAATTATTTGTACTGTCCAATTGCTAGAGATGTTAAACAAGGAGAACTACAGCACTTTCAGGAACATTGGACAAAGGGGGAGCCTGTCATAGTTCGTAACGTGCTTGAATTCACCACTGGCTTGAGCTGGGAACCGATGGTCATGTGGCGTGCATTACGAGAGAAGAAGACTAGAGCCCAAGTTGAAAACTTTGATGTAAATGCAGTAAACTGCTTACACTGGTGTGAGGTTAGTTATTGAAGCTTCTTCTTTATCTTTAGAATATTCTATATTTGCTTAATGATTATGCTAAACTTCATTGTGAAAGCACAGATTTTTTTATTAATGTAGTTGTTTCTTTCACTGGTTATTTTGTGCTACTAGATTTCTTCATCAATTATTTGCGATGAATACCTATGTACACAGTTGTCTCTTTTTTCCATGTGTGTGTTGCCGTGCTGTTAAGCTGTCTCTCAAATATTTCTCTAATCTGCATCTAGTTTTAATAAACCCTTTCCAATGAGAATTTGTCACTTCTTTTAGAAGTGGAACAAAACAGTTGTAACTGGATGCATTTTTGAAATCTTTGTTTCTTTAGACTTCAGATTTTAGACCAATAATCTTATGATCGTAATAAGCTAAATAACCCTTTTTATTGGAACCTTTATCTAAAATTCGCGTCATTAATATTCTACTGTGTACACTGAACTTGTATGAACCTTGTTGCCGTATGCTAATCTCTTGAGTCCGCATGGTTACAGTTACAAAAGCATAGCTGTTACATAGATTTTGATATTACTTATTTTAGTTGTGGACGCTCCTTTTATTTTTAGTTGTTTGTACTTTTGTCAAAATTTCATGCATTTTCTTACTTAAGCTTATGTTTAATTCGATATCCTTATCTCCATAGTTGCAGCATGTTTTGCCTATTATACTTGAGAAATTTTATGTTAATCCATTTGTCTTCACCCTACATTTGGCAGGTTGAGATTAACATCCATCAGTTTTTCACAAGATATGCTGAAGGTAGTCCTGGTGATGAGTGGCCTGTAATGCTTAAACTAAAAGACTGGCCCTCATCTACTAACTTCGAGGAGCGATTGGCACGGCATGGTGCTGAGTTTAATGCTGCATTACCATTTAAAGAATATACAGATCCTAGGTCAGGCATTCTTAATCTCGCAGTCAAGTTACCTAAGCGTGTGATAAAGCCTGACTTGGGTCCAAAATCTTACATTGCTTATGGGTTTTCTGAAGAGCTAGGCAGAGGGGATTCCGTCACCAAGCTCCATTGCGACATGGCCGATGCGGTACAGGAAGCCTTTTGACTAGTTTATTTCATATTATGCTGATTTTTTAGACTAAATTTAGTCGGTAACTATAGTACTTGATCAAGTTTACCTACAGGTTTTGTTCTTAAAAAAATGAAACAGACTTGATTTTTTTTTTTGCATTGGTTTGTCTAAGCTTTGGTGTGTGTTGTGTGAACTAAAGTGGCATAGTACACCAACATGACGATTTTATATAATATAGAAAAATCATGCTTCTCATGGATAATTCATCTCGTGTCATTTTTAATTGAGCATACTAAATGCTAAGTTGTTCTTTCCTTAAAATTGTTTATATTGGAATTGGCACTAGTCTTATAGGGTGTGTTTGGATAGATGCAGTTGAGCGACATAGTTGTTCAACTACATCAAACATTCAACGTGCTCGTTTTGTTGGAGGTTATTGCAACAATAACATAAGCTAAAAATTGGGGTGTTGCCTTGCGTTGGTAATGAAGAGTATTGAAACATGAGTTGGAACTACATGCATAAATTGGGTTTCCTGTTCATATCTAGTTTTTTTTCACAGCATCAGACATTCATTTTGAAGACTTAGACCTCTTTATAGCTTTTCTTAAATTGTTGATTTTTTCATTTTATTTTTTTTAAATTGTTAAATCTTTTAACGAGTGATCTTTTTTCTTTCTTTTCTATATATGATTGTTTCCTAGTTAATGCTTGTAGGAAATTGAACGGAGTCACCAAGTTTGATGCGCGGGATATAGATTTACAAAGTGAGGAAGAGAATGATCATGATGCTCTTTGGAGAAATGCTACGAAACTTCAAGTGGTGCGAGAAGTTGGAAATGACAATGTAATTACTGCCGTGAGATTTTTAAGACTTACTCAATATTAAGGGCATATCTTTTAAAGATCCCATTAAGGCATTACTTGGAAGCAAAGTTGGTAAAAGTGCTAAAGGCTAAAATATTGCTCAGATGAGGAGAGGGCTGGATTAAGAGGAACTAAATTGAAAATCCTTTTAATTATAGAGCTTGTGATCACCTTGATGGCATAATTGCACTTTACACAGTGGGTTTGTCGTTTAATTTAGCAAGAAATTCATACATCATCTAATCTTAGAAGTATGATGCAAACAAGAGGTTCTGTTCCTCCCGCTTACAATTTTTTAGGATCACTGCTCTTGCAAAGAGGTAAGGCTAAGGACACACATTCCAAACTTTTTTGCAGTGCATGAAGAAGACATGGAAAGAGAATGGTGTTCCCATTGTAAGTGATGGGTTGTACGACTTGTGAAGAAGGCGTGTCCAAAGGTGGATTAATTTTCTTAGATGGGTTCTATGTGGAAGGAAATACTAAACATTGTGAAGATTTACTCGAATGATATGGAAGAGGTTGCATCGAGAATGTGTTGACTCACAAGGCTGCGTCGAGCATTGTAGAGACAAGACACCCTCATGATATTTGGACTTCATTGCTGGTTCATAAACTAAATCTTGTGCTGAAAAATATTTGTGGGAAAACACATAAAGAAATGAGCTAATGTGTGAGGAATGTGGTTGGACTACCGAAAGATGTTCTGGTGATTGGCAATGTTCAATAATCGTGTCGAATTGAAATCCATTAATGAATCGCTCCGAGATTGGCAACTTTTCAATAATCATGTCAGACTAGAAGTTGTCGGAACTCATTTTGCTTCAATAGTTTTCATGTGGTGATTTGAAGAAATAAGTGTTGATTGGCGATTAGTGAGAGTTGGAACTTATGTCGAGATTATGATAATGCAGAGTTTGTTTGGCAAAGAATATTGGACGTTGTATGGTGGACATACAATAGAATATACCATCTCTTTTTGATGCGAAACGATGACAAGGGGTCTGTCGGAATCAGCGACCTAAATCGAATAACGCACCGTTTCGCGAAAAATGATGATCTTCGGCATGAAATTAAATTCAAAACAATTAATGTGACAGATGGATTTTAATAAGATTTGCATTAATAATCATGAACAATTCCAATCTCAAACAATATAACCATTGTATTCATTATCATTTCGCAAGTTCTAAACTCAATATCAGATCTGCAACAGTCACGTGTTCAGTTGCTCTCTACTCACAAGTATAATCTCAGCAGTGAATATAAGATAAGAGTTTAGAGATGATATACTCATGCAATTAACTAACAAAATAAAATTAACAAAAAAATAAGGGACGAAAGAAAACGAAACCTTCGTCGGTCTGAATAGACTTGATGTGAGAGACCTCTGGAGGTGGTACGACGACAACGGTGAACTGAATAACGATGACGAGGCGGAGATTCGATGACGACGAGTGCGACAGTGTTGAAAAATGAGGCGTGCGTCGGCGAACTGGATGACGACGTGTGCGACGACGTCGAACTGGGCTATCAAGTGGTTACGGGTCGACGGGTCAATGGGTGAACTGGCGATGATAAACGGCGTCGACTGAGCGATGACTACGACGTGTGAACTGATGACGACGAGGGCGACAATGAGGACGACGACGTCGATTAGATGACGGCGCAAGTGATGGCATCAAGCGGAAAGATGATGACGGCGGTGGCGTTGAACTGAACAGTGACGCGATCGATGACGTCGAGATGGTAGATGATGAAAGTGGTGAGGACGCGGGTGGCCTGTTGGGTTGAGACTGGTGATAGGTGTCGGGATGAGGTCAACGACGGCGTTGGGATGTTTGGGAGTGGAAAGTAGGGATTCCGGGGGCTGTTTAGAGTAGGAGCGGTGGCTGGTTGAGAGGGATGAAGAGAAGTTGGGAGCTGGGTTTGGAAATTGTTGACGTGGGGGAGAAAAAATTTGACGGCTGTGTATGAGGAGAAAGAAGATTTGTTGGCTGTTTGTGGCAGAGGAGAACAATTTGGCCTAGGGTTTCACGCCCGAGGCTTAACACCAAAATTTAGCTAACAAATATTTTTTTCATTCAATAATTTCAATAGTCTCATACAACCTTATAAAGAAAAACTACGTGCACACAATGTGCAATAAAAAATAGAAACAAAACAACAATCCCTCAAATCACTCAACTAAAATTCAAAAATCAAAAATCAAAATTCAAATTTTAAAAATAAAAAATAAAAGAAAGTCAACTAATCAAATATGGAAATTGTCATTTCTTCTCATCACTTTTACTATGCTTTTATGTAATATGTTTCAATTTGCAGATTCTGACAAGCCTAATCTTCACTTAATTTATGATGTGGAATTTTATGTTTGAAAAGGTGAAGGACTTAATCTATAGGAAAGATGGAAGATGAATCATTGTTATGCAACGTAGTGCATGCTATTATATTTGATTGGAGGAATTAGAGCAATATGCTATCACATTACTTCGTTCATTCACTAAATCTAAAGTGAGTCTTCTTAATAGAACTTTTAGTTTTCCTTGGTCATTATTTAATAATTAATACTAATTATAAGGCTTTTATATCTTCTAGGTATTATTATGTGAACAAGTTCATCAGAGCCCTAAATCGAGTTGTACCACAGACAAGGATCACGAAACCTCTATTGTAAGATCTAAATGTGTGAAGAGATGTTTCTACAATTTTGAGGAGTGGCAAATGGTTAAATCAAATTTGTTTAATTTTTTTGCGGGGTTCGATGCATTTGCGAAACACGACTTCTTATATGATGGGAGTAATTTATCCTAGATTGGGGCAGGGGAGTCTATGAGATTTTGCACATCACATTGTAAGATTGACATTAAAATTACCCTTGGGCATTCTTGTTCCTCATCTTGTTGTGAGTGGGATTGGAGTATATATAAAGTTATTTATCTACAAAGGGGAACAAAATGAATCCACAATGAGCAAAGGAGGAATATGTTAATACAACTACTACTTTTCAACTTCAACCGAGGAGAGTTCGTAATGTTTTGAAAGAGAAAGATTTGATGTCCAGACGGAGATGAACTTGAATCTTTCAATGATGCTGACTATTTCAAGTTGCAAAGCTTTCTCTTGACTGATCGAAGCTCAAAGCCGTTGTTTTTGTAGAGTACATATAGGTGGTAGTTTTGGAATTGTTTCGACGCGAGTTGGTTCCAACCATTATTATAAATAGCGGTAAATGACGCTGTAATAACGGCGCTAATAGTGTTAGCGGTTTTTTTCCGCTACGCTATCGCCCAATGGCGATGACATATTGCAAAATATGTGCTTTCCGCTCGCAAAGACGGCCATTAGCGCTATAGCGATGAATAGTTGGCAACTGCAAAAAAAATCCACTTTTTTACCGCTATTTAAAAGAGGTTTGAGGTTTATTTTTTTAAAATTAAACCTGACCCACAATCATTGCATCCCACCACCTCCTGCGATTTTCGGCGTATTCCCGCCACCTCCTACAACCTTCGGCACCTCCCTCAGCATTTTCTCTCACCTCCTCTCGCGGTGAGCTCTTCCTAATATAGTCCTCTTACCGCTCATCTTCTCAAAGATGACTATATGATTTCTCCTCTAGTTGTCTTCAGTATTATGTAATACTTACATGTCTATTTCATGTTTAGGATCTTAAATCATTAAATATGCACTTTTAAATTTTCTAAAATTTTCTTTATTTTTTCTTATTCCTTTGAATATTTTAAACATATCTAAATTAGACTGCTATTTGACTTTGCGTTTTTTACCGTTATTTTATCGCGATAGTCCTAACTAGCTTTAGCGATGCCTCACCGCTACGCGACGCTATCCGCTATTGATAACCTTGGTTCCAACTAAGATGACTTTGTATTTTTGTTTTGTTCTTGACATACACATTTTGAGATATAGCATTTTTGGAATATACTTGTAGCATTTTGGGATATAGGTCTAACTGTTGATGGTATGCTTGTAAATTTTGAATACACATAAATTGTGAGAAATCATTATTTTTGTATGCTTTAAGATGACTAGTAAATGAAACCGAATTTTAACTCATTTGCACAATGTATACTTCTCTGTCGATTACGCAAGGCAAGAAATTTATCATAGACAATTTGATATAATTC